TGCCTCCGCCTCCCAAGTAGCTGGGACCACAGGCGCCCGCCACAACGCCCGGCTATTTTTTGGTTGCAGCCGTCATTGTTGTTTGGAGGGCCTGTGCTAGATTCGAACCCGCCACCTTGGGTGTACATGGCTAGCACCTTAGCCACTTGAGCCACAGGTGCCGAGCCTCTACCTCTATTCGAGAAAAGTTTTAGAACGAGTCTTTGAGATTCTACTGTTGCACACTAAAGAAAGGGCCCAGTCTTGTCACATTTGGAAAGAATATTCCTTTCTGTTCTATAGTTGTGTCTTCTTTTAGACTTAGTGTCTGGACATTCCTTTAAAATATTACATCTTTCCCACAAAATATAAGACAAAGATTAACTTTTGGTGTCTACAACATAAGTGCTATGGGCCAAGTTAGTCAAAATATTGCAATTCCAAATATCTGACTAACTAGCAAAACGTCAGTTCTCTTCTCATTCAAAATTGGGAGTACTTTGCTGTAACAATAAGAGAAAAATAATAAGCACATAGAAAGATATCACTTCCTGTGCAAGAAATACATGCCTTATAAATTCCAAGCTTTATCTTGTTCTTGTTGGCATCCATTTCTTCCCATACATCTTTCTCCTGGGGACGAGGGTGTCCCAGAGATCCAGGTAATTTGTCTGGTGACACACCAACAGGGATGCCATTCTCCCCGTCACTAAGCTGTTCATCTGGAAACACCTCATCTGTATTTTCTCGAAGCAAGTCTCCTGGGATGGGAGTGGCATTGGCAATTCTAAAAATGAGAGGACAAAAAAAGGTAAAAAACTTTAAAAGACCAGAATCAAAAATTATTATGAAACTATCTTATATTTTGTTTCTTGATTTAAATTATTAAGTCCATATAGAATTAAAACAGTTTTTAAAAACTTAGAAAACTTAGGTCATGCCAATTCTACAACATGAAGCTTAAATTCTGATCAATTAGAATTTTTAAGATGAATTTTAACAAATTCTAATAATAGAATATTAGCTAATCTATTTGTTTTGAGATGTGGTCTCACTATGTTGCCCAGGATGGAGTGCAGTGGCTATTGGCAGGCATAATTATAGAGAACTACAGCCTTGAACTCCTGGGCTCAAGCAATTCTCCCACCTCAACTTTCTGATTATTATAGATATATGAAAGCATACCTGGCTTGACAAGCATTTTAAAAGTCAGAAACATTTCATCTATTTTCCAAGAAGTCTTTGCCAATTATAATAACATTTCCTACTTTTTACCCATTTTTCTTTCTTTTATTTAAGGGATGGGGTCTCACTATGTTGCCTATGATGGTCTGGAATACCTGGGGTTAAGTAAGGGCTCAGTTAGACAAATGGCAATATATTCCAGTAACTTTTGTTATCTTGAATATTGTATCTTGTATCTCTTGTAATTGCAAAAGTCAAATGTGACTTGAATATTACACTTTTAATAGTTTTTTTCCTTTCTTAAAATGTGTATACATTTTTAGCACCCTCTGTGTGTTTGTATGTGTGTATATACTTGTACATATATATACATACATATATATTCTACATATAAATGAGATATTTTTCTTTCTGTGTCTGGCTCATTTTACTTAGTATAATGTTTCTTATCTTGCCTATTGTAAATAATGCTGCAATGAACACAGAAGTGCAGATATTTTATATGGTCGACTAATTTTCAACAAGGGGACCAAGAAGACACAATGGGGCCCAATAAATGGTGCTGGGAAAACTGGATTTTCACATACACAAGAATGAAAGTGAAGCCTTATCTTAACACTATACACAAAAAAACCCCTCAAAATGGCCTAAATGTAAGATCTAAAACCATAGATTTCTTAGAAGGGAAAAGCTCTATCATAGTTTTTAAAAATTATGCATATTTTATTATGTTTGCTATATTTCTCTTTCTACAAATGGGTATCCTTTGCACTTTAATGTGTAAATAATTTCATTTCAAGGTTTGCATTTCTGTTCTAATAGTTATTTTTGGACCTATATCCCTTTAAATGCTCTTAGTCCTCTATTTTCTAATTTAACCTTTTATTATTGGGTTACTCAGTTTTATTTAGTTTTATTTTGTTTTTCTTCTTCAGGGACTCCAATAATATGAACATTAATCCTTCTTTCTCTGCCTTACTTTGGCATTTTCTCTTTAATCCTTTTAAATTATTTCTTTATTTCATTTTCATTCTCCTGGGGTTTTTCCTTGCTTTTATTTAAACTACATTTACTAAAATTTCATTTTTAATCTATTTGGCTTTGTGTACCTTGTAAGATAGTCTTCAAATATGAGATAATTTTGTTTTTTCCTTTCCTTTCCTTTTTTTTTTTTTTGTAGTTTTTGGCCAGGGCTGGGTTTGAACCCACCACCCTCGGCATATGGGGCCAGCACCCTACTCCTTGAGCCACAAGCGCCACCCTTTCCTTCCATTTCTTTTCTGAGTTGAATCAATTCAAATTTTTTCCTTTCCTAATAAGGCCTGAACCTCAGCCCTTGGGCAGTGGTAGAATAACTCTTCCTTGGATGCTTAATCTCAGTTCTAGTAGTAGTTGTACCTTATGTTTGTACTGCATTCTTTACATTTCTCTTTACTTCTTACCACTCAATCCTATGCTACTACAATTCTCTGTTATTTACTATAATTAACAATACACAATATTGTGTATTTTGAAGTAGCTAGAAAAGAAGGTTTGAAATGTCCCCAACACAAAAAAAGGATGAATATGTGAGGTGATGGATAGTTTAATTACCCTGATTTGATCAACACACATTATATACATGTATCAGTATATCACATGTACCCCATAAGTACACATAATTATTATGAATCAATAAAAATAATTTTTAAGTAATTCTTTGTATTTTTTCCTACTGAAATTATTGTGAATTTCTCTCTCTTGGTTAGACCCCATCTGACAGATTTCTTTTTTCTTTACCACTCAACTGACAAAGGGCATTTCACCCCCTTCATTTTTTGTTTTTGAGATAGTTTTACTTTGTCACCCCTGGGTAGAGTGCTATGGCATCACAGCTCACAGCAACCTCAAAGTCTTGGGCTCAAATGATCCTCTTGCCTCAGCCTCTCAAGTAGCTGGAACTAGGCACCTGCCACAATGCCTAGTTACTTTTTTTTTTTGAGACAGAGTCTCAAGCTGTTGCCCTGGGTAGAGTGCTGTGGCATAGCCCACAGCAACCTCAAACTCTTGGGCTTAAGTGATTCTCTTGTCTCAGTCTCCCAAGTAGGTGGGGCTACCAGTGCCCGCCACAATGCCCATCTGTTTTGTTGTAGCTGTTGTTGCAGTTGTCATTGTTGTTTTAGCTGGCCTGGGCGGAGTTTGAACCCACCAGCCTTGGTATATGTGGCCAGTGCCCTACCCACTGAGCTGCCCAGCACCTGGCTACTTTTTTAGAGACAGGGTCTCACTCTTGCTCAGGCTGGTCTGGAAATCCTGAGCTCAAGCAATCCACCTACTTCCACCTCCCAGAGTACTAGGATTATAGGCATGAGCCACCTTGCCCAGCCTCCCTCTTTGATTTTATTTGAGTCATGTATATTTTTACTTCCTTTAAGTCCATCATCTAATCTATCCAGATACTTTTTTTTTTTTTTTTTGAGACAGAGCCTCAAGCTGTTCCCCTGGGTAGAGTGCCGTGGCATTACAGCTCACAGCAACCTCCAACTCCTGGGCTCAAGCGAGTCTCCTGCCTCCGCCTCCCAAGTAGCTGGGACCACAGGCGCCCACCACAACGCCCGGCTATTTTTTGGTTGCAGCCATCGTTGTTTTGGCGGGTCCGGGCTGGGGATTCGAACCCACCACCTTAGGTGTACGTGGCTGGCGCCTTAGCCGGTTGAGCTATAGGCGCCGAGCCCAGATACTTTTTTAGAAGGGGTTTAAAGTCTTTCTAGCCTTGATTTTTAGATCAACCATAAGTCTTATTGCTAATTACCTTCTTCCCCACAGTTTTTCACGGTCCATCTTTAAAAGCCTTTGGCAGGGTTAGGTGAGGCAAGAGCATGAGAGGTATTGCACTAGGCTTTGGTATCTGTTTTTTCTCTTTTTACTTAAAATATTATCTTGTAGTTTGGTCATCCTGTCTTCAAGTTATGCTTGAGGACATGGTTTTTGCATAATTTTAGTTTTCCTTTTTTGTTATTCTGTGTTTTTTTGGAGGAAATACTGAAGGATAGGAACTTAAACTACTTTCACTGTCTTCAGCTACCTGGAAGTCCTATCACCTACATTTTTGTAAGTTGGAGATTTATCTACTTTTAACAAAAATTGAAAGGAAGGACAAAAGCACTAACATAGAAACCAAAATTGTTGGACTGGTTCCAGCTCTACCACTAATATTTATCAGAAGTTGGATGATTTACTTCAGTGTTAGGATTACTCCCTCACTTGTAAAATGGGGCAGTTGAACTAGGGCAGTTAAGTCCCAAACTCTGATAAGCATTAACACTTGATATGTGTGGACTTCTGTGTTCCATTCCTAAACATTCTGATTTAGTGGGTCTAGATGGTTCCTAGAAATAGATATATAAAAAAAAATCTGTTGCAGTTCTGCAGCTAGTAAAGAGTCTTACATTTAGGACCCTTTAGACAAGACCACTGTGGTATCAACTCTAATTATGTGAGTCCCTCCAAAATGTTCTAATTCAACAATATAAAAATTTTCTAATTCTTTCAATATAAAAATCATCAGAGGCAGATGCAGTGGTGCATGCCTATAGTCCCAGGTACTCAAAGGCTGAGGCAGGAGATAGCTTGAGCCTAGGAGTTTGAGGCTGCAGTGCACTATGACTGCATCTGTGAATAGGCACTGTATTCCAGCCTGGGCAATATAGTGAGACCCAAGTCTCAAAAGAAATCCAATGACAAAAAAAAAAAAATAAATTCCAATTAACTTAGAGTGTGTGATGATTTTTCCCTATTCCCTTTTTTTTTTTAACCAAACAGATTAAAGCAACCAGTGCAGATTAAAAAAAAAAAAAAGGGCTTAGCACTTGTAGCACAGTGGTTACAGCGCGAGCCACATACACCAAGGGTAGCAGGTTTGAACCTGGCCCAGGCCAGCTAAACAACTGCAACAAAAAAATAGCTGGGCATTCTGGTGGGCACCTGTAATCCCAGCTACTTGGGAGGCTGAAGCAAGAGAACTGCTTAAGCTCAGGAGTTTGATGTCGCTGTCTACCAAGGGCAACATAGTGAGACACTGTCTCAAAAAAAAAAAGATCAGGAAGAAAAGACAAAAACAAAATAAAAAACAAAAAGAAATATATTAAATATACATAAAAGAAAAGCATTAAAAACAAAAAGCGAAGGGCGGTGCCTGTGGCTCAAAGGAGTAGGGTGCTGGCCCCATATGCTGGACGTGGCGGGTTCAAACCCAGCCCTGGCCAAAAACTGCCAAAAAAAAAAAAAAGCTTATTAATTCAAGGAAGGTCATGTGAGGAAAGTGGATGAAATAAATTTCTTTTCTTTTCTTTCTTTTTTTCTTGAGATAGAGTCTCACTGTGGGCCTGGGTAGAGTGCCATGGTGTCACAGCTCACAGCAATCTCAAATTCTTGGACTCAAGCCATCCTCTTGTCTCAGCCTCCCAAACAGCTGGGACTATAGGCATGCACCACCACACCTGGCTAGTTTTTCTACTTTAGCGAGATGGGGTCTGCTATTCCTCAGGCTGATCTTGAACTCCTGAGCTCAGGCAATCCACCAGCATCAGTATCCCTACAGGCACAAACCACCACAATGCATCTAGCAAAAGATACATTAAAGGGTCTGCTTAGACATACCCAATTGCAGCAGGGGTCAAGCGGGTGTGCAACTGTGGGGTGGTAGAAGTGGTGGTGGTTGTTAGGGAGCCATCAGTTCCAGTCTTCTCCCAGTCAAAAGGGTCACTTTCACTTACTCCAAAGGTCTTAATGCTGTTGTCAAACACGGATGTAAGAAGCTAAATCACAAAAACAAAAACTAGAGTAAGCCAACAGTAAACACAGTTACTTTCTTCCACAAGAGAAAGCATTCCAGATTCATAAAACAGTTTTATAATAGGATTTTACTTAAAAAGTGATGGTTCAAACAGGGAAATCTGAATAAGAATTATATGTAAATGATGATATTGAATTAATGTTGATATTTCTCAGTTGTGTAGGAGAATGTTTATGTTTTGGAAGATACACAATGAAGTATAACCTACTTTCAATTGTTTAGCAAAAGGAGGTGTGACATGTATGTGTAAGTATGTATTCAGTTTAACTATTTTATCATTTGCCAAAAAGCACACATACACACAAAAGACATTTAAATATGGTTAAATCTAAAAAAACAACCAAGGTTGATTGTGGTATCATAATAGATGGCATGTATAGGTAAAGAGCATACAGAAGTTTATTGTGCTTTCTTCCAATTTTTTCTTTTTGTGGATTTTAAAAATTCTTAAAATATGTGTTTTTCCATGCACAAATTATCAAGAAGAAATTTGTCCTCTTGTGATTCTATGCTACATAATTTCATTTTTTTACCTTTAGTTTCCTAAGTTTTGAGGTGGACTTCAGAAGGATCTCATAAAGACCTTTACTGTTTCTGTCTATGAATTTCTATGCTATATAATTTCATTTTTTTACCTAGGTTCCTAAAATCTGAGGTGGACTTCAGAAGAATCTCACAAAGACCTTTACTGCTTCTGTTAGTAGCATCATTTTCAATTTTTTGATTATGGCATCATCCTCCCGTCATTATTTCTTTTTTTTTTTTTTTTTAGACAGAGCCTCAAGCTGTCCCCCTGGGTAGAGTGCTGTGGCATTACAGCTCACAGCAACCTCCAACTCCTGGGCTCAAGCGAGTCTCCTGCCTCCGCCTCCCAAGTAGCTGGGACCACAGGCGCCCACCACAACGCCCGGCTATTTTTTGGTTGCAGCCGTCATTGTTGTTTTGGCGGGTCCGGGCTGGGGATTCGAACCCACCACCTTAGGTGTACGTGGCTGGCGCCTTCCGTCATTATTTCTGTTGCTCTTTTAGTATCCTATCCTCTGAGATTCATCTTGTACATTTCCTTCCCTAGATCTGAAATCAGCACTTCTTCATTGGAGGATTTTGTACAGGTCTATTTTAGGCTTCAGAAAGATTACTTCAAATATTAAGTGCCAGTACATGCCATAAACTGAGATGAGAATGAGGGTGCTTGGAACAGATGACCAGTTAGGAGCCTAGTATCAGCTGAACCAGGATGATAACAGTACCTGTGGTTAAGAGTGGTAGGATTTGGCCATAATCTAGTGGTGTAGCCAAAAATCCTTGTTGATACATCAGATGAAAGCTGTAAGAGTGAATCACTGGGTAAATGCAGTGAAATGAAAAGCAGTGAGTTTGGGGATTAGAATATTGGAATTTATTTTAGGGAGGAATAGGAAACACAGATACAAATTTTGGGTGCCATAAGCTCACAGTACCAACAGGTATAACTTAAAGCCTAGGACCTGCTGGTATCATCACAGGAAAGTAAAGAGCAAAAAGGTCCAAGGGCTAAGACCTAGAATACTTCCAACATTAGATAGAAGGAAGAGAAAGACTCGCAAAGGAAACAAAAAAAGAGTGATTGGTGAAGTAGGAAAACCAAAATGCAGTGTTCTAGCCTGCAAGTAAAGATATCGTTTCAACATGGAAGAACTGTTATCCATTGTCAATACTGTATAGTTATTTCTACAGTTATTGCTAATTATTTCATTAATTTTTCTTTCAATCTAGACTATAAGCTCCAAAAAGCCAGCATTTGTCTGACTTTAGTCATCACTGTATCTTCAGGGTCTAACACATTGTCTTACACATAATACTCTAAAAATATTCTAAGAATAAATGTTTATTTGTAATAATATGTACTAAAAAGGTCAGAGGACCCTACTTTTCATTTACGTTCCAAAAAGAAAAGTAAAGTAATGTATATAGAAAAAGAAACTAAAAAGAAAAAGGAATTAGAAAAGATGTGGTTATAAAATCTGGAAAATTTTTCTTTGGTCCTTTGGTTTAAATTTTAATTTATTATTATTATTATTTTAATTTATTTCAAATTAACATGACGGTACAAATTTTTAGGTAACATTGTTCTCACTTCCAGGGTAAAGTTCTATTTGTTTTTGTTTGTTTAAGTTTTTCTTGTTGTTGTTGTTGTTGTTGCAGTTTAGCTGGGGCCGGGTTCGAACCCACCACCATCAGCATATGGGGCCGGCGCCCTACCCACTGAGCCACAGGTGCTGCCCATAAACTTCCATTTGTAAAAGAGCCCCTCACCCAGAAGGCATGTTATATATCCTCACAATGTGTACATTAGGTGAGATCCCGCCTCATCCCTCCCATCTTCTGCCAATTGTCCTTCTCCTTCCTGATCCTACTTTTGTTGATCTAAGTTACCTATGTTATAGCTTAGATTTCCCCAAAATATCAAAGGCTGAGGGCTGCAGAAAACACTAAGGAGGAAAGAAAGATGGATTGGGACCCAGTATGTGAGAAGTGAAGTGCCAAACTTTGACCCTCTCTCCTGAGTCTGAAATCAAGGTTCTCATCGGCTCTCAAAGGTTCTCAAAGAAATGCATGCTTCCCAAAAGTCAGAGTCCCTGTCAGTGAGGTAGCAATTGCCTTGCTGTGTGAGCACTTAGGCTGCCTCTGCTAAATTCTCTGCTGATAACCATGCTGCAACAGGAATGATCCTAAATGGTTTTTATGTCCAACGTCCTTTTACCATGGAATTATCGTCTTACGTTTATCACAGTATTATATGTATTAGAAAATGTATTCTATGGCATTGGACCTCAAATTAGAAACCATTTGTTACTATGATGATAATAGTAGAGATCAGCACCAGGAGGCAGAAATATGAGGACACAGAACAAAAGAAACAGGAAGACAGCTAAAAGCATCCAGGCATTTAAAGGCAACCTAGTGGGAACAAACGATCAGACTGGACAGAGTACTGCAGATATTTTAAAGGAATAAAAAAACATTTCTAATCCAGCAAACTAATTTTCCAACTCAGGATCAGGAAAGCTCTAAACCCTATCATCAGACTGAGATAGTAGAAACAGGACAAGTCAAGGACTCACTTTTTTTGGTAACAAAATTCATCACATTACATTTTGGCTAAGATAAATAATAAAACCAGAAAATGCCAATTCAGTCACGCATTCAAATAGGTTTAAGAATAATATAAATTATATTATAAATACAGTAGGACTCCATATATAGTTTCCATAAATATAGTAGTGTGTGCATATGTGCATGTGGGTGTAAACTTAAGTGGTTCTCATTCTTTTTACACTCCAATACAACTGGAGAATAAAACATTTTCTCCTCAAAACAGAGAGTAACTATGACTAATTCACAAACTGGAAAGGGGACAAGGTGAAATCTGAAAATTCTTCTAGATAATTCAAACAAACTCTCTAAATTTAGAGTCCAAGTCCTCAAACCAGGGTGATGTGTACTCCCAGAGGATGCAGCCACCTGCCAGAGAGGTTTGTTTGTTTTTGAGACAGTCTCACTTTGTTGCCCAGGCTAGAGTGCCAAGGTGTCAGCTTAGCTCACAGTGACCTCAAACTCCTGGGTTCAAGGAATCCTCCTGCCTCCTTCCCAAGTAGCTGGGACTACAGGCACCTGCCACAACACTCAGCTAATTTTTCTCTTTTTAGTAGAGAAGGGGTCTCATTCTTATTAAATGACAAAAATGTATTATCTAAAATAAATTGAATACACATCTAACTATGTACCCCACAAAGATGCTTAGTGCTAGCTCCTACCATCTGGAATATTAATTCTTTCTTTTTTCTTTTTAAAGGTGGGATTTTACTCTGTTGCCTATGCTGGAGTACAGTGGCACAGTCATAGTTCACTGTACCCTCAAACTTCTACGCTCAAGGGATCCTCCTGCCTCAGCCTCCTGAGTAGCTGGGACTTCAGGAGGCTGCCATCTCACCCAGATAATTTTTTTCATTTTTTTGAGATGAGGGTCTCACTATATTGTCCAGACTGGTCTCAAAATGATCCTGGCCTCAAGCATTCCTCTTGCCTTAGCCTTCCAAAGTGTTGCGATTATAGGTATGAGCCATCACACCTGGATGCCCTTATTCTTTATAGCAATCAGTCATCTTATTTAGGCATGATGCCTTAGGGAAGCACTCCTCTTACTTAGCACAAAAATGCAATCAATACCTGTATCATATTTACCTGAGTATCAAACCCCAGTATCCCCTTTCCAAGAGAATGTAGACCAAGTCTAGCCTTTATAAAAATAAGACATATTTGCAATGTGATATTAAAAATTCACTGAGAATTCTGATTCTTGAAATCTCAGTTAATAAATGATAAATTAATGAATCAATAAAGCACTTAAAGAAGAGAACAGAATGGCTATGTTGGCTTGGTTGACTCAAAGACAGATTATTTAATGTATAAGAAATTATCCCACTTCATTAATATGTATATGCAGTAGAGAGAAAGTAATGCACTTGTTTGACTTACCTGCTCTTCTTGGGGATATTAGCAAAATTGATAGAGAAAAACAATTAAATTGCACCTATCCTCTGTAGACTTGAATCAGCAAAAGACAGAAACCTGAGGAAACTGCTGAGTTTTCTTCACCTGTTTTCATCATTCCCTCAGGCATAACTTAATGATGGAGATACATTCAGACAAAATGTGCCCTTTTGCCATCATGCAAACATGAGTGTACGTTTACAAACCTAGATGGTACAGCCTACTATATACCTAGACTAGAGGGTATAGCTTATTGCTCTGAGGATATAAAACTATACAGCATGTTCCTGAATGTTATGGGCATGTGTAACATAATGAGTATTTGTGTATCTAAATATATCTCAACATAGAAAAAGTATAATAAAAATATAATATTATAAGCTTATTGGACCACTGTTGTGTATATGGTCCCCTGCTGACTAAAACGTC